AATGCCAAAACAGACAAAGACACCACAAAAAAATAAAATTACAGACCAATATCCCTGATGAACATAGATGAAAAATCTTCAACAAAATATTAGTAAACTGAATTCAAAATACATCAGAAAGATCATCCATCATGATCAAGTGGGATATATTCCAGGGATGCAAGGTTGGTACAATATTTGAAAAATCCATCAACATCATCCACCACATCAACAAAAAGAACAAAAACTACATGATCATCTCCATACATGCTGAAAAAGCATCTGACAAAATTCAATATCCACTGATGATAAAAACTCTCAACAAAATGGGTATAGAGGGCAAGTACCTTAAATAATAAAGGCCATATATGACAAACCCATAGGCAACATTATACTTGACAGTGAGAAGCTGAAAGCTTTTCCTCTAAGATTGGGAAGAAGACAAGGATGCCCACTCTCCCTGCTTTTACTCAACACAGTACTGGAAGTCCTAGCCACAGCAATCAGACAACACAGAAATAAAAGTCATCCAGACTGGTAAGAAAGACATTAAACTGTCACTGTTGGCAGATGACATGATATTGTACATAAAAAATTCTAAAGAATCCACCCAGAAACTACTAGAACTAACAAATGAATTCAGAAAAGTTGCACAATATAAAATCAATAAACAGAAATCTGTTGCATTCCTATATACTAATGATGAACTAGCAGAAAGAGAAATCAGGAAAACAACTCCATTTACAATTGCATCAAAAAGAATAAAATACCTAGGAATAAACCTAACCAAGAAGGTGAAAGACCTATGCCCTGAAAACTACAAGACACTAATGAGAAAAATTAGAGAAGACACCAAAAACTGGAAATCTATCCCATGGTTGTGGATTGGAAGAATTAATATTGTCAAAATGGCCTTCCTGCCTAAAGCAATCTACAGGTTCAATGCAATCCCTACCAAAGTACCAACAACATTCTTCAACAAACTTAAACAAATAGTTCTAAAATTCATATGGAACCACAAAAGACCCCGAATAGCCAAAGCAATCCTGAGAAAGAAGAATAAAGCAGGGGGGATCTCGCTCCCCAACTTCAAGCTCTACTGCAAAGCCACAATAATCAAGACAATTTGGTACTGGCACAAGAACAGACCCATAGACCAACGGAACAGACTAGAGAGCCCAGATATAAACCCAAGCATATATGGTCAATTAATATATGATAAAGCCATGAACATACAATGGGGAAATGACAGCCTCTTTAACAACTGGTGTTGGCAAAACTGGACAGCTACATGCAAGAGAATGAACCTGGATTATTGTCCAACTCCACACACAAAAGTAAACTCAAAATGGATCAAAGACCTGAATGTAAGTAATGAAACCATAAAACTCTTAGAAGAAAACATAGGGGCAAGGGAAACAAAAGCAAAAATGAACAAGCAGGACTATATCAAACTAACAAGCTTCTGTACAGCAAAGACCACCATCAGTAGAACAAAAAGACATCCTACAGTATGGGAGAATATATTCATAAATGACGTATCCAATAAGGGGTTGACATCCAAATTATATAAAGAACTCACACACTTCAACAAACAAAAAGCAAATAAGCCAATTAAAAAATGGGCAGAGGAGCTGAACAGACACTTCTCCAAAGAAGAAATTCATATGGCCAACAGGCACATGAAAAGATGCTCCACATCACTAATCATCAGAGAAATGCAAATTAAAACCACAATGAGATATCATCTCACACCAGTTAGGATGGCCAACATCCAAAAGACAAACAACAACAAATGTTGGCGAGGATATGGAGAAAGGGAAACCCTCCCCCTCCTACACTGCTGGTGGGAACATAAATTAGTTCAACTATTGTGGAAAGCAGTATGGAGGTTTCTCAATAAACTAAAAATAGAAAGACCATTTGACCAATCAATTCCAGTCCTAGGAATTTACCTGAATAAAACAAAATATCTGAATCAAAGAGACATATGTAGCCATATGTGTATCACCACACTGTCTACAATAGCCTAAGTGTCCATCAGTAGATGAATGGATAAAGATGATGTGGTACTTATACACAATGGAATATTATTCATCCATTAAAAGAAAAGAAATACTGCCATTTGCAACAACATGGATAGATTTAAAGGGCATTATGCTCAATGAAATAAGCCAGGTGGAGAAAGACAAATACCATATGATTTCACTTATTTGTGGAATATAAAAACAAAGCAAAACAGAAGGAACAAAACAGTATTAGACTCACAGATGCTGAGAAGTGACTAGTGGTTACCAAGGGGGAGGGGAGGAGGTGGGGATAGAGGGGAAGGGAACTGTTAAACCACTGTGATATACATTTGATTTAAAAAAATTGGGATTGCACTGAATCTGTAAGTCCAACTGGGGATAACAGACACCTTTACCACATCAATATCAATGCCTTTACAATATAATACTGAATGTTCCAACCCATGAGTACTGTATCTCTTCACTTATTTAGGTTTTCTTTAATGTTTCTAAAAGTTCTATAATGTTCATAATAGAGGTCTTTCACTCCTTTTTGTCATATTTATTCCTATGAATGTCATATTTTTCCAGTACTTTAAATGTGTTCCCTTTTTAAAAACTTTCATATGTAGATGGTATTCAGAAACCAATAGATTTTTATATTACTTTTTATATCCAGAAACCTCATTAAACTACCTTATCTGAAAATATTTTTGGTATTTTTTAAACTTCTCATACATTTTAAATTTTATTAAAATAATTTAAGACAAATTTCAATGTCTGCAACATCTGCTGTTATGTATCATTAATATTCAGCCTTACTTCTTTTCTAATATTATTAAGACTTTGAAGTTACCTCTAAATAATGCTTTAACATCACCCTGCAAATTTATATATTACACTACTGTCATTATTGTTCAGTTCAATAGTGTCTAATTTCCACTGAAGTTTCTCTTTTGACCCATAGGTTATTTGGAAATATTTGTCAATTTCCAAGCATATGGACTTTCCTTCTAGTTAATGATTTGGTTCTTATTTCTACCTCAATTGAACTGGAGTCAGTGAATATAATATACTTTATATTATTTCTGCCATTGGAAAAACTTTTTGTTGAAATATAAGTCACATACCATATGCCCCAAGTTAGGCAAACTGCAAAGTTTTTGAAAAGACAGACTTCTAAATTTCCCTGACTTCTGACACCAACTGCATGTTCAGGGGCTTCCTGCAACCACCCTCAGGTTCAGCAGTTTGTCAGAACTCAGAGAACTCAATGAAAGCTGTTTTGCTCATATTTATGGCTTATTACAGAGAAGGGATACAGATTAAAATAAGACAAAGGAAGATATGCATAGGCCAGAGGCAAGAATGGTTCCAAACATAATGCTTTCATCAGTCTTTCCTTGTGACGTCAGGATGTGCTGCCTTAATGCCACTCTAAGTGATAATATGCACAGAATAGTTTCCACAAGCCTTGGTGTCCAGAGTTTTTATCAGGGCTCCCCCACAGAGGCATGACTGCTTGATTGTCCACATGGCAGTCTCAGTCTCCAGACTAACTGACACCGCATGACCCAAAGCCTGCACTCTATATCACACTGCTGATCTTTCCAGCATGACCAACCTCACTGATGACTATCAATTGATGACTATTGATGACAAGGTGCTCCCACCCTAAGATCTGGTGTGGTGAGCCCCCTAAACAAAGACAACTGCTATCAGGTATGACATAGATCACCACCCAGAAGCCATGGGCAAAGGCCAGACCTCTCTTGGGCAAGGCTAAATTCTTTAGTACACACCATTTTTAAAGTGTACAATTCAGTGGTTGTTAGCATATTCACAATGTTGTACAACCATAAACACTGCTTAATTCCAGAAGATTTTCATCATCCCCCAAAAAAACTACCCATTAGCAGTCGCTCCCCACTTCTCTCTCACTTCTCCCCTGAGACCTTGGCAACCAGTAACCTATCTCTCTGGATTTGACTCTCTTGAACATTTCATAGAAATGGACTCATACAACATGTGGCCTTTTGTCTGCCCTCTTTCACTCAGCATGATGCTTTCAACATTCATCCATGTTGAAGTATGTGTATCGGTGCTTTGTTCCCTTTTTCATGGTTGAGTATTATTCCATTGTGGATAGATCACATTTTGTTCATCAGCGGACAAACATTTGGGTTGTTTCCACTATTAGAAAAAATGCTATGAATATTCAGGTACAAGTTTTTGTGTAGACCTCTGCTTTCTGTTCCCTTGGGCAGACCTACGGCCAGCTTCTCCCTGGTGCTTCCTGGCCCGTCCGCACCAGACAGGCCCCCGCATGGCGTCACTCACCCCCTGGGTGGACAGACTCAGCTTCAGGCCTCCCTGCTGCCATCAGTGCCTGGGTCCTGAGGCACCTGAGCTCTGAGGACAGTTGGGGGGCCTCAGGATGAAAGGAGGGAGACCCTATTTACCTAAACTAGGCTACTAGAAAATCGTAAAAGGAGAGTACCACCAAAACTAAAAAATGCTAGGATGATGAGGGATCACTTGCTCTAGCCCAGAACTGGACACTTCAGTGGCCTGGACAGTTCCCTCACTGGGCGGCCACTGCGTCCTGAAGGCCATCAGGGGATATGAACTTCCTGCAGCCCAGGTAGCTACTCTGGCCTCAGAATAACAGGTACGTCCTCTTTGGGCTGAGTTGAAATCTGTGTCCTGTGGTGTCCATCTCAGGGCCATACAGAACATTCTGCTCCCTGTTGGCTGAGCAGGCCCCTCAGAGGTCTGAAGGCCCAGTTTCCTGAAACACCCTCTTCTGTAGACTCCTAAAGTCTCCCCTCCAACCGAAGGCAAGCAGTTCTTCCTGCTCTCAGGTCCGACCACTGAGCCCTGTGAAGCCCCTTATAATGAACCCCAGCAGGCGTCAGTCAACAGATCCCTCTCTCACAGGAGTACATTGAGCTCGCCACTCAGCATCTGGCCATCACCGCCATCCCGGGAAATGCAGATCAAACCACCTACCGGCTTTGGTGGCTGTCCCACAGCCGCTTCAGACCTCGGTTGGCCAAGCCTTCCAGAATGAGGACGTGGATCTTCCCGTCCAGCAGGTGGAAGCCTGTGAGCACATCCAGGTCCTGCCGCTCCTGGACCTTCACCCGCATCTTGAAGGCTGACAGGACCTGCTGGCTGTCCTTGACAGGACAGGAGCCCAGATCGAGGGCCCTGGCGTTGATCGCGGTGATGTCCTGCAGCAGGCTGTACAGGAGGAAGGCCCTCCTGCAGTCAAACACGAAAATAATGCGGCCAAACTGGGCGCCTGTGGGGTCTGGATTGGGGATTTCGGTCCCGGCCTGCAGCGACACCGCAATGTCCACCCGCAGCTTGAGCAGGGAGTCGGCCTCTAGGTAGTCGCCCTTGGGCATCGGGTGATGCTGGAGGCCGTCCGTGGGGACGTGAAGCCCCATGACCTTCCTGGCCCGGCCATCCTGGCTGCGGTGAGTGGGCGGGGCCTCGCAACTGTGGACGGGGACAGCTAGGTTCAAGTACTTGCAGCCGAGGAGGAGGTCGGCAAAACTGACCTGGGCAACCCCATAAGGGTCCCACAGCTTGTTTTGAGATGCAAAGGGGTTGTTCTCTGTCTCTTTGGGAGAGATGAGGGCATGGAGGTTGAGATGTGAATCCAGGGGGTCGTCCCCAAACAGGGTGGGCTCCTGGGAATACTGCTCTGACTTGCGGTCCCGGTCGTGAACTTCCACCACCATGGGCGGGCCCCCCAGGTACTCCCTCAGGTCGCTGGGCTGCATGGCCCCAAGGAAGACGACGTTGATGTCCTGGAATGAGATGTGGGCTGCATGCGGCTTCCCCTCAGTCTCATGAACCGGAGTCTTATGGAACTGGTACTTGCAGTACACGGGGGTGCACAGCCGCTACGAGAGAACAAGGCAACAGCAGGTCACCAGGCTGCAGCGGCAGTCACTCTGCCTCCCCCTGAAGGAAGGCTCCCAGCACAGACGCTCAAATCCCAGGGCAACACGCACCCCAGCAACCCCCGCGGCCAGCGTGTCCTCATCTACACCATGCCCCTGAGCAAGCCTGCACTGCTCGGTCCCTCCCAGGAGGGAGCGCTGTTCCCGAGCGCACGAAGCTGCGGCGGGCACAAGACAAGGGCTCAGAAAGTTATCAGTCACTATTTCTTCCCCAGACTGTGAGTGCCATGAAGACAGGCCATGTGCCTTTATCATATCCGCATTTCTAGTCCCTAACCCAAGCGTTGGCATAGGAAAGGTGGAGAGAGGTGGTTTTTAGAAAACGTAATCCATCTTTTCCAGACATATATTTGGAGGGTTGCCGCAGGCTCACTTTGAGCACATTAATAAGCATCCAAGAGGAAAGCTGCAACGAGGGGAAGACCCCGAGGTCTGGATCTCAAGGGCACGTGGAGAATGAGACGGAAAGGAGGGCGGGGCTGTGGGAGGCAGAAAACGGGGAACTCCCATGTTTTAGCCTTGATGCTATTTTATAATCAGAGGTTAACCTTATGCAAGTTTGGGGTCTGAATTCCTACTCCAAGTATGCTATTCAATTTGGTTTGTTTGAAAAGCAATTCTGGGTTAGTAGTGCTCCTGGAAACCTGGCAGAAGTAATTAAGAACACTTTTTGGAGAAATCCACTTTCAACCAAGGCCTCAAAGAATTCCCACAGAGAAGGTTCCATTGAACATGAGATCACAGTAAAGAAAAAAAAAAGAAAATCACAAAACACCAAAGGGGAAAAAGGTACTAGCAAAGTCAAATATACAAAGGCATAAGATATTAGAGTGATAAGATACATAAAGCAAATATATGTTAGTCTATTTTTAAAAGTGATGTCATCAAGGTTGAATCTACTGTATTTCTATTTACTAGCAATAAGGAATATTAAAATGAAAAAATTTAAATATCATCTACAGTAACATAAAAACATAAAATGCTTAGAAAGAAATGAAGTGAAAGCTGTATAAGACCTGTACACTGAAAACTACACAGCATTGCAGAGAGAAATCAAAGAAAATCTAAATGGAGAAATAATGCCATTTCCAGCGTCAGGAAAATGCAATTAACTCTCAATGAATCATGGACTTAAACAAAAGAGCTAAAGTTATATACCTTCTAAAAGTATCTTCATGAACTTGGGGTGGAAAAAGATGTCTTTGACAGGACATAAAAAGCCCTAGTAATAACAGCAAAAGGTGATAAAAAATGTACTTCATCAAAGACACTGTTAAGAAAATTAAAGTCAAGCCCCAGACTGGCAGAAAATATGTACAATGTATATATATATATATCTGACAAAAGACTTGTATCCAGAATATAAAAAGAACATCTATAAAGCAATAATAAAAAAGAAAAAAGTTAAAAATAGTAAAAGAGGTACTTTCAAATCTGGTTAAATAGCATAAGCACACTCTCCAGTAAATGCAGCTAAAAACTACAGACAGAATGCAAGGGGCAGCTATCAGAGGACTCTGAAAAGTAAAAAGTAGCAGATGGATTGGGGAAGGAGTCCAAACTCAATGAGTTTCCTGGGCTTTATTTTCCTCCTATTATATCCCCAACTGGACTCAAAGCAGCCCGAATTCCAGAATTGTGCACCAGGTGTGGACAGCTTCTCTCAGTACTCTCTCTCTCTCTCTGTTCCAAGGATGGGAAGGGGGGACACCTACCGGACAGAGAGAGTGGGAGGGAACAGCCTATTATTTTTATTTCCTGGCCCTGCCTACAGGTGAGGTCAAGTTCCAAAGCTGCAGTCTGGTGGGAGAGGCAGCAGCTGGACCGGAACCTAAAACTTTGAGCAAGCGGAATCCTCTTTGATCAGAGGAACTGTGCTACAAAGGGTACAGAGTCATCATTATTGTCTTTCCTCTATATACCCTCCCATTACTTGTCCTCAGAGACAGATCAAGTCTCAGGAAGGGCATGCTGGAGTGGGAATGCTGAAGTTATGCCTATAGAGCCAGAGTACCAGGAAGGGACTCAGGAGCTGGAGAGGGTGGAAGGGGATAAAATTAAGAAAGGGACCCCAAAACATTATGTATAAACTCTCGGGCTCATCCCTGAATTGTGCATGTATGGATCTGACTTTAAGCAGCAGACTAGAGGTAATGAAAACCGAACTACAGAGCAGACCACTGCACAGGTCCCAGACTGCCCCCTGCATAGTGCACATGCAGGACCAATTTTAACATCAATATTAAATCTTTGAAAACTGAATCTACATTAAAACAACAGCTCACCAAAGGTAACCTAGAACTTGAAGCATGACTCTGAGTGTGCTGCCTAATAAAAAAAGCCACATTCTCCATAGGATTTAAACAAGACCTAGTGTGTCGTAACATAATATTCAAAATATCTAAGGTACAATCCAAATTACTTGACATACAAAGAAGTAGGAATGTGACCAATAATCAAGGGGAGAGGCAACCAAGAGATGCTAACTTGAGGTGACTCAAATATTGAAATTATCAGACAAGACATTAAAACAACTATGACAACCTATAACCATACTCCAAGAAGTAACAGCAAACACTCTTGAAACAGCTGGGAAGGTGGCCAATCTCAGCAAATAGAAACCATAATGGAGAACCTAATGGAAATTTTAGAATTTAAAAATATAACTGAAAAAAATAAAGCACTGGGTGGTGCAAAGAACAAAACACAGATGGCAAAGCAAAGAGTAAGCAAAACAGGGCAACATAAAGTGCACTGAGCACACAGAGGAAAGAGACTAAAAATTGAAAAGTAAACAAGCCCAGGAACCTGTGGGACAATATCAGAAGGTCTAACATTTATATCATCAGAGTCCCAGGAGGTGAGGAGAAAAGATGTCTGTAGAAAAAATATTTGAAGGAATAATGGCTGAAAGTCTCCTAAATTTGGCAAAAGGCAAAAAAATTTTACAGATTCAAGAAAGTCAGTCCCAAACAGGGTAAATAAGAAAAGAAACACTTGCCCAGCAACATCCTCACTGAACTGGCGAAAAGCAAAGACAAATAACATAAATCCAGAAAGCAGCCAGAGAAAAATGACATGTTACTCCTGGAACAATTTGGATCTGTGGCTTTTTCATCAGAAACTATAGAGGCATAAATAAACTAGAACAAAATGTTTTTTACAGTGTTGAATGAGAAGGACTATTCACCAAGAATACTAAACCAAGTAACAATACAATTCAGGTCAAAGTGAAATAAAGACTTTCTCATATGAAAGAAAACTAGGAGGGAATTTGTTGCTATCATACATGCTATAAAAGTTACCACTATATGGAGGAGGGAGCCAAGATGGTGACATGTGTAGTTCAGCAGAAATCTCCTAAAAACATATATATTTTTGAAAATACAACAAATACAACTATTCCTAAAAGAGACACCAGTGGATACAGTACAACAGCCAGGCTATATATACATCTGTGAGAACTCAGCATCACACAAAGGAGGTAAGATACAAGCCATGGCCCAGTGGGACCCAAACACCCCCCTATGCCAGACCCCAGAGGGAAGAAAGGAGTCAGAGTGGGGAGGGAGTGAAAGCCCAGGACTGCTAAACAACCAGCTCTAGAAATCTGCATCTGGAGCCAGACACACAGTGCACAGGGGGCTGCATATTAGAGAAACGGAAAAGCAAAACCTGCGAGCAGGTCCCCACAACTGGTGCCCCTGAGACAAAAGAAAAGCAAGGGCTTTTTGCAAGTCTTAAAGAGAGAGGGATCCCACAGCTGGAAGAAGTTGTCCCGGCACACTCAGCCCAGCACCTGTGAATCCCAGAAAACTCTAAGCGACCTAACCACCTGGGCAGCAGTGCAGCTCTGAAGCCCCCCATGGTGATAAGCAACCTGCCAGTCGTTCCCCCAACTGGCATGGACCCCGACATACCGGCCCAGGAGTGAGAAAGTGGCAGCACACGCCAGGGATGGCAGCACCAGAGGGGCCCGGGAGGGGCCCGTGGGAGCCAGCAGCAGTGGCGGAGGAGCAGCCCAGGAGCAGCTACGCCCCCAGCAACCACACAGAATCTCAGCCCAGTGCATAGCCACCTGAGCCAGACCCAAAGGCTACTGCTGGCACACAGCTGTCCAGCAGGGGCACCACTTCCCCAGGAGAGTGCACCCGGTGCACCTGCCACTCCCCACAGGGCTCTGTGCTGCTCTGATGGAGACCCCGCCCACAGCAGCTTAGGGGATTAACCCAGAGGCTGCTCCAGGAGTGCAGATAACTGACACAGGCAGCAGAGAAGGGCAAGGCATCCAGCAAGCAGGAAAGGACTTTCTTCTCCCAGCTGACACACCTGCAACCTGCCTACAGCTACCTCTATAAACATGAAAAGGCAGAAGAATTTAGTCCAGTCCAAATAGTCCAGACAACCCCTGAGAGAGGGCCTAGGGAGACAGACCAAACCAATCTCCCTGAAAAAGAATTCAAAATAAAGGTCATAACCATGCTGATGGATCTGCAGAGAAATATGCAAGAGCTAAAGGACCAAGTACAGAGGGAGACTACAGAAATAAAACAATCTCTGGAAGGACTTAAGAGCAGACTGGATGAGGTGCAAGAGGCCGTTAATGGAATAGAAATCAGAGAACAAGAACACAGAGAAGCTGACACAGAGAGAGATAAAAGAATCTCCAGAAATGAAACAATATTAAGAGAACTGTGTGACCAATCCAAAAGGAACAATATCTGCATTATAGGGGTACCAGAAGAAGAAGAGAGAGAAAAAGGGATAGAAAGGGTCTTTGAAGAAATAATTCCTGAAAACTTCCCCAAACTAGGGGAGGAAATAATTGTTCAGACCACAGAAGCACACAGAACTCCCAAAAGAAGGGACCCAAGGAGGACAACACCAAGACACATAATAATTAAAATGGCAAAGATCAAGGACAAGGACAGAGTGTTAAA